ACCCCCGGGAGAGCCTGCACCCCCGGGGAGAGCCTGCACCCCTGGGAGAGCCTGTACCCCTGGGGAGAGCCTGCACCCCTGGGAGAGCCTGCACCCCCGGGGAGAGCCTGCACCCCTGGGAGAGCCTGCACCCCCGGGGAGAGCCTGCACCCCTGGGAGAGTCTGCACCCCTGGGAGAGCCTGCACCCCCGGGGAGAGCCTGCACCCCTGGGAGAGCCTGCACCCCCGGGGAGAGCCTGCACCCCTGGGAGAGCCTGCACCCCCGGGAGAGCCTGCACCCCCGGGAGAGCCTGCACCCCTGGGAGAGTCTGCACCCCTGGGAGAGCCTGTACCCCCGGGGAGAGCCTGCACCCCCGGGGAGAGCCTGCACCCCCGGGGAGAGCCTGCACCCCCGGGAGAGCCTGCCGAGGCTGAGCGTGGGGGGCTGGGGGGTCAAAGGTGAGGGCCTAGTGCCGGACAGTGAACTTGAGCTTCAGAATGCTGCTGGGCCGTCTGGTCCCTGCTCCCCAACAAAGGCCAGACTGTACCCTGGAACCCTCTGCCCAGGCGACCAGCGGAAGGAGACCTGGCCTTCGGGGGTCAGTCCTGTGGCCGGTCATCTCTGCAGCATCCGAGCAGCCCACAGGGGGCGTCAGGGGCTCTTGTCCTTCCTGCACTCAGAGCCCCAACCGAGGACCCACTGCCGCTGCCACTCGGCAGGGAGCTGGGAAGGGATGGCACCCAGACCTGCTCCCGGAGCACCCAGCTGCGATGCTGCAGGCCAGTGCCCGGGCGAGTCCCTCGGTGCGGCACTAACAGCATGGGCTCGGAAAGGCCCCAAGTGAGATGGTGTGTGTGTGTGTGTGCAAGGAGCACAGACAGGCTCCCAGCAGGCGGCCGGAGCTCAGAGCTCAGAGCTCAGCCATCAGTGTGGGCCAGCTTGCCAGCTCCAGTGACAGGCTGTGCGCCGCAGGCCCGGGAGGGACAGGCAGGACAGGCAGGGAGGGAAGGCCTGGAGCTGAGGGTGAGTGAACTCCTTCCAGGGCGATGGGCAGAAGCAGGGAGAGAGGAGGAAAAGAGAGGGGTCAGGGCAGCCATGGTGGGGTGAAGGGACAGCACCTCACAGCAGGAGGCAGCTGGAAGGGGGGTCTGAGCCTGGAGGGAGAGGTGTTGCTGCTGGGACGCCGGAGGGAGCCACAGGGACTGCACCTGCCCTCCGGCCCCCAGGGCGTGGCTCCCCTAGGCTGGGCCTGCACCAGCTTGTGCTTCTCCTTCTCTCCTGCTGAGGGAGCCCTTCAGGTGGGCCTTCTCCCCGGAGTGCACCCCTCATCCCTGTCCTGCCCCCCACGGCTCCTACCCTGGGCCCCCTTGGGGACACTGTGGTCACCAGCCAGGGTCTCTATGGGAACAGAACCACTGGGGGAAATGGGAGGGGGAGAGGGAAGAGGGGAAGAGGGAGGGAGAGAGGGGGAAGGGGAGGGGAAAAAGGAGTGGGGAAAGGGATGGAGAGGGGAGGGGGGTGGAGAGGGGAGAGGGAGAGGGGAGAGGGAGAAGGGAGGGAGAGCGGGAGGGGGAGGGGGAGAGGAAAGGGGAGAGGAGGAAGGGGGGAGGGGAGGGGAGACAGGGGTGGGGAAAGGGATGATGGAGAGGGGAGAGGGGGCTGAGCAGAGGAGGAAGAGCCTTTGGATGTGAGGGGAGGGCAGCGGAGCAGGGACATCGGTGGAGTCTGGTCCTGCCCTGGGTCTCAGTCCTCTCCGCAGCTGGCTGGCAGAGGTGCGCCGGTGCGGGCAGGGAGGCCGAGGACCGATGGGCGGGCTGAGAGGGGACAGCGATGGGCGTGGCCGTCGGGGGAGGGTGGCGCCCGCTGTGTGCTGGTCTGGGCTAATGCTGTCTCCAGGTTGCTGGGAAGCTGTGCTTTTTAAAATCTTCACCAGAAGAAATGTTCATGGATTTGAGAGAGGAAGAGAGACAGACGATCTCCCCGGCTGCCCTCTGTGCGCCCTGCAGCCGGCCGAGGGACCGCAGCCGCCTGCGCTGGACGCCCGTCTGCCGAGGCCTGGACCGGCTGAGGGCCTGGAAGGAAAGCAGCAGCTCTGCCCGGCTGGAGCGAGAGCCCTGCGGCGTTCCCAGCTGGCACTTTGGGCATCAGGAGTCCTGCCCTGGCCCGTGTGGCTCAGTGGCTAGAGCATCGGCCTGAGGACTGAAGGGTCAAGGACCTGGGCCTGGGTGCGGGCTCTCCCCAACCTGGCTGAGGCCTGTGAGGCAGCCGCTCCGTGTCTCTCTCACACTGACATCCCCCCCACCCTCCCTTCCACTCGAAAAGTCCTCGGCTGACGATTAGCAACGACACAGACTCCAGGTTTTGCCCAAGTGGCCAGCCCGTGAGGATGTTGGACTTACGGACTCCGCCCTCTCACGGACCACTTCCTCAGGGACCTCAGCCTCTCCCTGGCGTGGCGGGGGCCGGCCTCACCCTGAAGGCCTGAGGGTCTGAGCGGGCGCCGGGGAGATGGGGGACGCGGCCGCTCCCTGCAGGCCCCGGGACTGGGGCTGGTCACGGGGTGGGCGACCGCTGGGGAGCAGAGCCACGCCTGTAAGGCGTCCCGGAACCCTCCCAGGCGCCCACGGGGGCCGGAGGAAGGAGGCCCCGCACCCCGGCACCCCGGCGTCAGCACTGCGTGGCCCCGCTCAGGCCGCAGCCACGTCTGTCACCCGCTCCCGGCCCCGACGCCCCGGCCCGTCAGCAGGACGTGGCCGCAGTGGTGGAACTGGGGTGCCCTGGTGGCTTGGCCCAGGCCTCAGGGGACTTTAATTCTCATCCCCATGACCGACACCGAGCAGGGGCCCCAGGCAGGGGCCGTCCCAAAAGAATATCAGAAAAACACTCCAAGTCTTGAAAATATTACTTTTTACAAAAGTATTGATTTCAGCTATTTTGAAAGTGAGTAGGGAAGGCATATGATGTGGAGACCCCACCCCCTCAATAAAAGCAGACACATAGGCCCTGCCGGTGTGGCTCCGTGAACAGAGTCGGCCTGTGGACTGAAGAGTCCCAGTTCTATTCCAGTCAAGGGCACGTACCTGGCTTGCAGGCTCCTCCCCAGCCCTAAGCCCTGGCCGGACACGTGCGGGGTAACCAATCAATGTGTCTCTCTTGCATCCATGTTCTTCTCTGTCTCTCCCTCTCCCTTCACTCTCCCTGAGAATCAACGGGAAGTCCTCAGGTGAGGATTTAAAATGAACAAAAAAGGCAGACAAACAGGGTGGAAGACGCTTCTCCAAATGGTGCCTCCCTCATCCCCAGGAGGGCTGAGGGCTCAGGCCCAAGGCCAGATGTGCTGGAGAAGCAACGCCCCACCCCACCCCCTCCGCTCGGCTGAATCTTATCCTTGCAAACAGGGTCAGAGAGGAACGCTCGCCTAACTATGGCCGTGGCTACGCCTGGCTTGCAGCCCCCCTCCAGCCTGCAGGTTCAAGGCAGCTGCAGCCTGTTCTGGGGTGCTGGGAGCAGAGTGGGGGGCTGCCCCTTCTCCACGGCCTGTGAGGCTGACCCCCCTGGTCCCCTCTTCCTGAGGAGCTGGGACCCGGGGCTTTCCAGCCTGGAGCACACTCACCCCCCACCTTGCCAAACTCTCACCACTGTCAGCCTCCACCCACATCCCCTGGCCTCCAGGGCTTGGGCAGTAAGTCCGTTGTCCATCTGTCCTCTGGGAATCCTGCGGTCTCTGGCCCAGCGCGCAGCGACAGCCTCTGCCCGCAGGCAGCATGTCGGAGGGAGGGGCTTCGGAGTGTGGGTTGGTGATCTGCGTTAGAATGAGGACTCTGCTCCTTCATGGACAGAAATCTTATACAATAAAAGCCTAATATGCTAAGTGTCCAGTCTCCCAGTCGTCTGTTCAACCAAAGTGTAATATGCTAATGATATGCTAAGGCCATTCAACTGCTTGCTATGACGGGTAGGTTAGCACTGACCACCAGGGAGCATATGCTCTGACGGGTAGGTTAGCTTGCTGTTGGGGTCCAGCCGATCGGGACTGAGTGAGATGGGCCAGACACACCCTGGAGTCCTCCCTCGGTCCCTCCCCCGCTGGCCAATCTCCCACATCCCTCCCAGGCCCTGACTGTGCACCCATGGGGTCCCTTGGCCTGGCCTGTGCCCTCTCGAAACCTGGGGCCCCTCAGGGAATGTCAGAGAGGTGGTTTCAGCCGGGTCCTGCAGGCCAGGCTGAGGGACCCCATGGGTGCAGGGGTTCGTGCGCTGGTCCTCTAGTGATGTAATCATAGTAACACCCTGCTGGGCACCCGACAGGTGTGAACTCACGTCTCACAATTAAGCTGATTTCACTGCTGAGAGGGCTGAGGCAGAAAGGAGAACTTGACCAAGATTGCACAGCAAAGAAGCAGCTAGACCCTCAGGATTTGAAGCCTGGAAGTCTGGTTCTGGAATACTCCATCTTCCCACTGTCTGGCTTGCTCACCTGTGTCTGCCTCCTCTTCCCAGTGCAGGGTTCATCTGTGACCCAGTGACTCCCCTACCCCCCCCCCCCCACCACGTCTCACAGCTGGGGCAGCACTGGCCAGCCCATCAAGTAGAAATGGAAATGGAAACGTTTAATTTCTGGTAGAAACGATAAATACTTTGCACTAAAAATTCAAGTTTTCCTCATTGTCACGCTCCCCCATCCCAGAGCCTGCAGACAGGACTCCGCTCAGAGGGTGAGGTGCCCTGCCCGTGGCCAGGCCTCTGCCGGAAGGCACGGTGGCTGCTGGGGGCAGGCCCAGGAAAAGGCACTTTGTGGGGTCTAAACCTGCAGAGTTCAAAGGAGAATCACAGGCTGGCATTGGTGGCGTGAAACTGGGAGGCTGAAGGAGGGGTGCAGTGTGCAGAGCCCCTTCCGTCAGACACAGGGGAGGGGCTGCAGTCACAGTGACCCGCACACCACCCCCTCTTCACAGGCTCTGGGCTGAGGGGAGGGGAGGGGAGGAAGGCCTCGGGGCGGGAAGGTGTGCCGAGTCCCCAGCTAGGGGTCCTCCCCCCAGGGGCACAGCTGCCGCTGCGGCACGAGGAAGGTGAAGCTGTAGCTCTTCTGGCAGCTGCGGATGCCGCACTTGTAGGGTGCAGGGTGGCCCCGGCTGTGGCAGTACTTGAGCATGCAGGGGTACCAGGCCAGGCGCAGGCCGTAGTGGCAGACACAGGGCGCGCCCCGGTCCCCCGCCTGCCCGCAGCGAGGCAGCGCCTGTTCTGTGTCCGCGGGCAGAGCCTTGAACATGGAGCTGTCCACACCTGGGGTCAGGGGGAGAGAGGCAAGGTCAGGGGAGGTCAGGGAAGGGCGGCCCCTCATCACCCCAGGAGCTAGCCCCGCCGGGGAGGCCCGCCTGCTGCCTGCGGGCGCAGGAGGAAGTCAGGAGCCTGGGGGGGCCAGGAGGGAGGGCAGGATGCCAGGGCGTGGGGCCGAGAGGCGGGCGCGGGCTGCGGGAGGTGGCAGTGGCCACTGGGGACCAGCTCGGGGGATGTCAGGCTGGTGCTTCCCACGGGAGTCTGCCTCCCCGCCCCTCACCACGAGGGGCCCGGGAGCCCCCGCGCACCGCCGGTGCCGGGCGAGGGCAGGCCCGCGCACCTTGCTCCTGCCAGAACCGGGCGTCCTCCTGGCGGGTGTAGACGGCGTCCGTGGCCTCCGCACACACGGTGTGCAGGTGGGGGCTCAGCAGGGCTGCCCGGCTCAAGTCCACGGCCACGTCCATGTGCAGCCGCTCCAGGCCCCGCGCCTCCTCCGCCTGGCGCACGGCACGGGGGTTCTTCTGTGGAGGAGGAGGCCGTCCCCACGGGTGTGGGTGCGCCGGCGTCAGCGCCCGCCAGTCTGGGGCGCCACGTCCCAGTCATCTCCCCCGTCCCCAACCGTCCCCTCCCCCGTCACCCCCCCATCCCCGTCCCCTCCCCCGTCCCCTCCCCCTCCCACATCCCCTCCCCTGTCCCCAACCGTCCCCTCCCCGTCCCCTCCCCCATCAACCCCCCGTCCCCGTCCCCTCCCCCGTCCTCTCCCCATCACCTCCCCCGTCCCCTCCCCCATCACCTCCCCTGTCCCCGTCCCCTCCCCCGTCCTCTCCCCATCACCTCCCCCGTCCCCTCCCCCATCCCTGTTCCCTCCCCCGTCCCCTCCCCTGTCCCCTCCCCTGTCCCCTCCCCATCACCTCCCCTGTCCTCTCCCCATCACCTCCCCCGTCCCCGTCCCCTCCCCCGTCCCTGTCACTGAGCAGACAGGCCAGGCCGGAGGTCTCAGGTCTGGGCTGTCTGGGGCCGCTCAGAAACACCACCCTCCCTCGCGGCCAGAAGCACCCCGTCCTGCTGTCCCGGGACGGGGGCAGTGTGTCAGCGGGGTGACCGCCGGCTCCATGCCTCCTGGGAGGGGCAGGCCCAGGGGCAGGTGGAGGTGAGGCTCTGAGGAGGCGCTGTCCCACTGCAGCCCGCACAGGAGGTGGCACTGGTCTGAGGACAGAGCCACCCTCAGGGGCGAGCGCCCAGCCACCCCCCAGTGGGGCGCTGACTGTAGGGGCCGGAGGGCTCAGTGCGGACAGGGTCTGGGGTACTGATTCGGGTGTGGCCAGGGCAGAGTCGGGCTCAGGTCCGAGTGCCGAGGCCTGGTGCTGGCAGCATGCGGTGGCTGCAGGGTGGGAGCGCTGGGCGGGCGGAGGGGGACCACGGCGGGCGCTCACCTGCCGGAGCTTGGCCATGGCCTCGCTGGGGATGATGTCATGGTCGCGCAGACGGGTGAGGAAGCAGAGCGCCTGGAAGTGGCGCTGGCCCTTCTCCTGCTCCCCCAGCACCAGCGCCCGCAGGATCTTCACGTGCTGGGGGGGCGGGGGGCTGGCTGAGGCGGGGCCCACAGGGACCCGCCCAACGCCCCTCCCGCGGGCTGGGAATGGCCCTCCCCACTCCCTGTGGGGTGGGACCCCTTCCTGCCTGCCTACCTGCCTGGGGGCCCTGGGCTCTGCCCTCACCTCCCGCAGTGCCTCCTAGCAGCCCCAGGGGAGCCCAGGGCCCGGCCGGCAGTGCCTGCACGTGGAGGCAGCCGAGGGCCCAGCGGCGGGGGCCCCTGCGCTGAGGGTGGGTGCAGTCCCCTCCAGGCCCGGCCGGCCTGCAGGTCTGGCGGCGGTCGGAGTGTGCAGGAGGCACCTCTCCGTGTTCCTCTCACAGGCCGTCTCCCCCACTCCGCCCTCTCTCTGACGTCCAGTTAAAAGCCTGTCCAGACCCCGCCTGGGAGAGGCCTGGGGGCCACGGCAGTCCTGGTCTGGGAGGGCCGAGGCGCCTGCATGAGGAGGGCGCCCTGGCCCCCTCCCTGCACAGGCCGGTGGCTTCTGTCCACCTGCTCCAGGAAGGGCCTGAGACCGTCCCGCTCCCCCCCACCCCACCCCCCAGCCCACCGAGGGCCTGGCCACCCAGAGGCTCAGGGCCCAGAGGGGGGGGGGACGACACACGGAGGCTCAGGGCCCAGAGCGGGACACACACACACAGAGGCTCAGGGCCCAGAGCGGGGGACACACACACACACACACACACACACACACACAGGCTCAGGGCCCAGGGGGGGGGGGACGGAGGCTCAGGGCCCAGAGGGGGGGACGGAGGCTCAGGGCCCAGAGCGGGGGGTAGGGGAGACGGAGGCTCAGGGCCCAGAGGGGGGGGACTGAGGCTCAGGGCCCAGAGTGGGACAGAGGCTCAGCGCTGAGGCTCCCTGGGCCCCAGGGGGCGAGTCGGGTGGCCCACAGCTCCTCTGGGCAGGAGATATGTCCTCAGGCCCCCCAGCCCTGGCCTCTGGCCGCAGGTCAGCGGTGGGGGGGGCGGCACTGGGGCGGTGCCCTCAGGGAGCTGCCACTGCGGCTCCGACCTGCCAGGAGGCTTCACTCGGACCCACCGCCGCATGTCCAGAGCCAGGGCAGCCCACCCACGCCCCGCTTCGGGCACCGCCTGCCACGGCAGCCGCTGTTACTCCTCGCCGAGGGCTGGCCCTCTGGTTCAGGAAGAGGGAAGGGAGGGGTGTCAGAGAGGACACCCGGGTGAGAGACACCGTGCTGCCTCCTGCAGGAGCCGCCGGGCTGGGGCCAGGGAGGAGCCTGCCTCCGTCCAAGGCGCCGCCCGCCTGGAGTTGAGCCGGAGACCTTTGGTCCGCAGGCCGACACTCGTCCGGAGCCACACGGCGAGGCCGTCTGTCTGACCTCCGAGCCCGGGCACGCGCGGCCGAGGGGCCCGCTGCCGGGGTCCGGGGCTCGCTGTGTGCCGGCGGAGAGGAAGCCGTCCTGTGTCCCCTGAGCAGCGGGAGGGGAGGGTGGTGCTCCAGGCCATGGGACGAGAGGAAAGGCAGCCGGGGTCCAAGGGAGGCCCGCCCCGCGGACCCAGGGCGCCCAGGCCCGGGCCTGCTTCCCGGTGCGGCGCCGGCTAGCAACCTGCGCTCGGCCCAGCCACCGGCCGGCGGGAGAGGCAGAGACCCGCCGGCCGCCCCCCCCCCCCCCCACGCCTCTGTGAGCCAGAGCAGCCGCCGCCGATGGCACAGGGCCCCGCGGCCCTCAGCCCTGACCCCGCCTCTCCGGAAAGCTCCCCTGGCCCGGCCGACTCCCCGCACAGGGAGGGAGAGGCGCGCTGCGGAGGCCGCCGCCGCCAGGCAGGCTCCGGGCAGGCCGGGGACCAGGGGTCCCGCTGCGGCTGCGGGGCGCTCGCCAGGCGCCGCAGGAGGAGGCGGGGCCCGGGCGGGGGCGCGGGAGGCTGGGGAGGGAGCCACGGGGACCGGCCGCGGCCTGCGGGGCCTGGGCGCAGGGGGCACACGCGGACAGAGGCCTGGTGACCAGGGGTTTCGAGGCTCAGCCCTGCGTCCCCGCGTCGGCGGTGACTACAGCAGCACGGTCCTCGGCGGAGGAGGGAGCGCGGCCCGGCCCGGCCCAGAGCAGGAGCGTTTTCCGGGAGGGGCGCCGGGCCGGGAGCAGCCAGCCGGGCCTGCAGGCCGGCCGAGGCAGGGCCCTCCCTCCTGGCGCCTGGTCTGCACACAGCCCGCCCCTCCTGCCCAACCCAGCGCTGGCCCCCCACACCCACCACAGCACGCCAGGACCTCCACAAGCTGCCTCCGCGGAAGGACAGACGGATGGAGGGACCGAGGGAGTGAGGGAGGGACAGAGGGACGGAGGGAGGGAGGGAGGGGCGGAGGGACGGAGGGAGGGACGGACGGACGGAGGGAGGGAGGGAGGGAGGGGCGGAGGGACGGAGGGAGGGACGGACGGACGGAGGGAGGGAGGGAGGGAGGGGCGGAGGGACGGAGGGAGGGACGGAGGGAGGGACAGAGGGAGGGACGGAGGGAGGGAGGGACGGAGGGAGGGAGGGACGAAGGGAGGGAGGGACGGAGGGACAGATGGAGGGACGGAGGGACGGACGGACAGACGGAGGGACAGATGGAGGGTCGGAGGGACAGATGGAGGAACGGAGGGATGGAGGGACAGAGGGAGGGAAGGACGGAGGGAGGGAGGGACGGAGGGACAGATGGAGGGACGGACGGACGGAGGGACAGATGGAGGGTCGGAGGGACAGATGGAGGGACGGAGGGACGGAGGGACGGAGGGAGGGACAGAGGGACAGATGGAGGGACGGAGGGACAGATGGAGGGACGGAGGGACAGATGGAGGGACGGAGGGACAGATGGAGGGACGGAGGGAGGGACGAAGGGACAGATGGAAGGACAGAGGGACGGAGGGAGGGACGGAGGGAGGGAGGAAGGGACGGAGGGAGGGACGGACGGAGGGACGGAGGGAGGGATGGAGGGACGGAGGGAGGGACGGAGGGAGGGACGGAGGGACAGAGGGAGGGAGGGACGGAGGGAGGGATGGAGGGAGGGACGAAGGGACAGATGGAGGGTTGGAGGGACAGATGGAGGGACGGAGGGAGGGAGGGAGGGAGGGATGGAGGGACGGATGGAGGGATGGAGGGACGGAGGGAGGGACGGAGGGATGGACGGAGGGACAGAGGGAGGGAGGGACGGAGGGACAGAGGGACGGAGGGACGGAGGGAAGGACGGACGGAGGGACGGAGGGAGGGACGGAGGGAGGGACGAAGGGACAGATGGAGGGTTGGAGGAACAGATGGAGGGAGGGAGGGAGGGACGGAGGGAGGGACGGAGGGACAGAGGGAGGGAGGGACGGAGGGAGGGACGGACGGAGGGACGGACGGACGGAGGGACGGAGGGTCGGAGGGACAGATGGAGGGACGGAGGGACAGATGGAGGGACGGAGGGACAGATGGAGGGACGGAGGGACAGATGGAGGGACGGAGGGACAGATGGAGAGTCGGAGGGACAGATGGAGGGACGGAGGGACAGATGGAGGGACGGAGGGAGGGACAGATGGAGGGATGGAGGGACAGATGGAGGGACGGAGGGAGGGACAGATGGAGGGACAGACGGAGGGATGGAGGGAGGGACAGATGGAGGGACGGAGGGAGGGACGGAGGGAGGGACAGATGGAGGGTCAGAGGGACAGATGGGAGGGACGGAGGGACGGAGGGAGGGACGGAGGGAGGGACAGATGGAGGGACGGAGGGAGGGACGGAGGGAGGGACAGATGGAGGGACGGACGGAGGGACAGATGGAGGGACGGATGGAGGGACAGATGGAGGGACGGAGGGATGGCCTGGCATCACCTCGCCTGGAGCCACGTCTTCCTCACACCTCTGCTGCTTTGCAAATGCTCACACCCAGGTGCTCAGCATCTGAGCAGGGCCGGCCCTGCGGCTCTTCCCGCACCCTGCGGCTCCGGCGGCGGCTCAGTGCGGTGCAGCCCAGTCCTCCCTCCTCCCTCCTCCCTCCTCCCTCCTCCCTCCAGGCAGGGTGCCGGTCACGGCGACTGCCCTGCCCTCACCGAGGTCTGCCCCCGCCCGCCACAGCCTTCGCCGCACCCGTGCCCACCGCCCACGTCCTCCGGCAGCGTCTGCGGCCTCTCCTCCGCCCGCCCCCGCCTGGGGGCGAGCCCGGCTGCGCCCAGCCCCCCACAAGGGAGCCGAGGACTAAAGGACAGGGTGCCCCTGGGTCCCCACTGAGCAGCCCCGCTCCCAAGTCCGCCCTGCTCTTCACGGCCAGCGCCCTCCCCTCCCGGCTTCTCGTCCAGCCTCTTCTCATCACACACACCAGGGGGCGACCCCGAGGCCAGGCGAAGCCAGCCTCAATACTGACTCCTGCTGGGGGGGCTCAGGCCAGTGCTGGAGCCGCGCTGGCTGCCCCGCCGCTGGCTGCCTGCGGGGCGCCCCGGCCGGCCGGCCACGCACACCCAGGCTCCGCCGGCAGCAGGTGTGCTCGCCCTGCGCGCCCGGCTGGGACAGGCTCTTGTCACAGGGCTGCGCCCACTGCCCCTCCACCCCACCCCCGCCCTCAGCCTAGGGCTCCGTCAGCCAAATCCCCAAGGTCACCACTGCCCTAACCCCTGACCCCTGACCCCTGACCCGTCAGGCCCAACCACCTGCTGACTAGGCTCCTAGGATTCCCAGCCAGACCCCCTGTCCCCCCGTCACTGAGACCCCAGCGCGCAGCAACGGAGACACCTCCATCCTACGGGGAGCGCCGTGTGCTGTCCCCAGCAGCACCTGAGGAGTGGCCTGCGGACCCTGTGGGCACCCCGCTTCCCATCACGTCCACCACGTCTGCTGGGCAAAGGCCTGGCCTGCACCTCCCACGACACGCCCGCAGCCCGCACTCGGGCCTGCCGTGCGCCTGCAAGTCTGAGCTTGGGGCGCAGAGACCACGCTGGCGAAGGGGAAGGTGCGCAGAGGTGCCCGCAGCATCCGTGAGCCTGCGGGGTGGCCCGCCCGGCCGCCGCTCCGG